ATTAGTTTTCGATTAAAATAAAACAATTGTGTAGGTAATGTAAGTCTTTGGTCAGGTAAAAATGCGTCATAAGCTAATTGCACAGTTTGAGGCGTCTCTATGTATACATATGCCTGCATGTGTGTGTGAGAGAGTATGTGTAATTGCAGACAGGCATTTTTTGTGGCACACACACACAGGCACTCGCACTCACACATATACAAAAGTACGTTAAATAGTCTGGTTACGCTCTGACGATCAAAATACAATCCACCCCACATTAAGGCGCAGAGAGAATGGGAGAGTGAGTGAGAGAAAGAGAGCGAAGAAGAGTGAAGGACAGGTAAGTGCTGAAGTGTTCTACTCAACAGTATTTAAAATACGGATTGCCTAATAATGTTATCAGTGGAGAAGCAACTGATAAGCCCTGACGATTGTCACACTGGGCATGACCACAAAAAATAAACAAATAATGAATATAAATATTAACATAAAAGCTAACGCACGTTCCAATTTCTCAGTTAGATGGCAACAGACCAAAGTTCTTGTTGGAATGGCTAAAAAGTGAACAAAGAAGCCAAATAATCTAGTTGGAGCCCGATTACTAAGATGTGACAGCATCTGATTGAAGAGTGTACCCAAGCTTATGCGTGTAACACATTGTACATACAATTCTGATTGCAATTCAGCGGTGCTTTCAATTCGCCTATACAAAATATACTTGTCTGTTATTAGATTCTACAACTGATTTCTGTCACAACGTCTCTAATTGGCATATAACAGCACGTTTATGCAAAGTATCCCGGATTAGATTCTAGACACGATTTCTGCTATATACTATCTAATTAGAATTTGGCAAACCATAACAGTGCAAGCATGTCAACGATAACAGCTGCTAAATCTAAATAAATCTGATTTGATTATATATCACATTTTAGCACGTATGGAAAGAGCACGTGCCTGTGTGTGTGAGTGAGTGCGTGTGAACGAATGCATGTGTACAGAGTTCACCAAGAGTCATTAGTGAAAGTTCGTATCGCGCTGCCACGTACATTACGCTTTAACTATAAGTATAATGTCTATCTGCATGTTAACATATCGCATACTTCAGAAGAAAAATAATCGCATTTGTTGTTTTGTTTCACTTTGACATTAACAGCACTTCAACTGTTAAGACTGCAGTGGCGTATAAGAAGCATTTACCACTGCTCTCTTTAAGTCTTCCAAAATATACAAAGCGCGTTGTATTAGTTATGAGTGCTATGCGTGTGTGTGTAAGTGTGTATTTGTGTTTTTTTTTTATTATTATGCCGATGCCGACCTTAAAAAAGTTTCACCAAACAAACAGAAAGTCGCAGTCGCAGCCGCCGTCGCTGTCTGCGTGCGGCGGCTGCAAAGTCGCGAAAGCTGCAAAACCAACAGCAACAATAACTATGCTGGCAGAGACGAAAAAACAAAATACACATTAATTGTGGCGTTTTAGGTGTTTTTATTAAAAAGGGTTCTCAGCGCTGCAAGCTACAAAATGTCCCGTTGTGCAACAAACCGGCCAAACAAGTGCTGTTGTTGTTGTATAGAATTCTAGCCCCGGCTCAAGCGCAAGCTCAAGGCTTGAGAGCAAGTTATCTACTTTTTTCTTTCCTGCTTTTCTATGAATTGAATGTGTGTAAGCAAAAAAACAAGAGAGAGGCATAGCCAGAGAGCACGCAGTGTGGGGCACCCATTTATATGAATATGCAATGTGAGCCGCTCTTTACACAGAGCTCTCTCTTTTACAGGTGCGCAAGTGTGTGTATGTGTGTGGTTGTCTTACTATGTTGTTATTTGTTAAACTCTTTCGCTTGCTCTCTTTGCACCTATGTGTGTGTGCTTGTGTGTATGCGCTTATTAGTACCGTTCTAGCCAACGAAACCTGAAGCGTAGCTAACCATAATTTGGTCAGAGCTTGAGCCATAATGCAGCCACGTCTCAGCTCATCTGCTCATCTGTTGATATACACACACACGCATACAATTGGGTGTCAGTTTCACTTGAGACCCTTAAAAGTCACAGATAACTACGCCCTTGGCTTGCTGTGATACTCTTATTAGTTTTTCAGCGCACTTTTCTAGTTTTACACAGACACACACAGTAACACATAGCTTGCAGGGTGAATGCACTCATTTTTTCTACATCATTAATGAGTTAGAAGAGAGCATTTGACTTTTAAAACAACGTTCGATAATAAACGAATCTTTGTTCCCATGTTCTTATGCCAACAGCTATTAACGTATATACTATAATTAACACTTTGTTCACTATTTAGCTCCGTCTAGGTACAACTTCCAGTTCCAGACCAGATCCAGAGTCAGACGAAACTTGTAGCTTTGGGAGATTTTAGTTGAATCGGTATATTCTTTAAAAACAGGTTACATAAATAGGTCACGCACCATCGAGTGCCAGTGCCAGTGCGACTGCAACCGCGCAACAGGTTAACAATGGCCGCTTGGACTTTAACTTTGACTTTAACTTAAATAAAATAATTGCCACCATTAAGTACACACGCGTTCACACATTTGCTTAGCTAATTTGTTATTGGCTTGGGTGATTATTTCTTTCTTCTTTCTTTCTAGCTTCTGCTGCTTTTTTAACGGTAGTTACCTCAACAACCAAAATAACCAACCGAGCACAAAGCCGAACACAACCGATCGTTGCTAACAAAAATTGTGAACTGTCGGCAATGTGACCTGTCTGCGATAGCATACAAAAGTGCCGCAAAACTGCAATAGTGTGACCAAGCTGTTTGGAAACCTGAATGCCAAGTCTTTTAGTAGCCAAATGTTTTGAGGAATTTCTGACGTCATGCAAGGTAGTGTTTCTTATCAAATTATGTTAATACTGCCAACTTATCGGTACAGTTCTTATGTTTTGCGCCTACAAAACGGTTTATATTAATTAAAAGCTTAATATTGAATGTATTAAAATTATATAATTCCATCAACAGTTTCTAACCCCTTTAAGATAATTCTTGACTACGCCGTTGCCAATGCCAAAAACAAAACACTAAGTTGTTCACACTGTTTTCGGCGTGCATACTGTACAGCAAAACTAGCATGTAGCGCGTCTTATGCGTTCTATAACGTGCGTTTAAAAACAAAAATGCATCAAAATAGATCTAATAATTACGTAACAAGTTACGTAAAAAGTGTACAAAGCGTAGAGTAGTTCAATTATTATTATTGTTATTTAATGTTTATTTATTATTAATGTGAATATATTAAATAAATTATTATTCCATAAATATTTATCAACACATTTTTGGTTTTTACCCAAGCTTTAGCAAGTGTGAAACGCACGAAAAGCCTGCCAGAAACAAGAGAAGTGGCAACACTGGCTGCCGTGCATACTGTACCTGAAGTTAAAAGCGGGCAAAAACTGATAAACAAGAAACAACACAATTATGTACTTTCATAGATATACATATACATATTAATATGTATTAAATTGTTTTTTTATTATTATTGAATTGTTTTTAGTTCTTTAGGTGATCAGTGACTGCATTCAAATTTTACATGCGAATAGCTCTGTATTAATTGTAAGGAGCTGGAGTGCGGGGGAGGAGGGGAGCTGGGTGAATTATAAAAAAGGGACGTTAAATGGGATTTAGCAGAATTTCCAACGATTGCCGCACTCGTTGCACATGACAAACGTGGTCATCGGCTCGTCGGCGGATCGCGTCTGCAGCTGATTGTAGGTGCAATTACGCTTTTTGCATTTGCCGCACTTTAGCAGATCCGTTTTGGTGCCTTGGACGGTGGCCAATTGGGCATCGTTGATCGCCTCTTTGACGAACTTTTCGCGCAGCTTCTTCATCTCGTCGCTGGCCATTTCCTCGGGCGTCATTTTGGCCAATTGCTTGGCGGAGACGGCGCCGCACATGAAATTACCACGCAAACCCGGATTTTTCGGATCTTTCAAATTCGCCACTCTCGATCGTATGCGATTCTTGTACTTCATATCCGTATTCTTAAACTCCAAGTAGATGGCATCCTCCAATTCGGCAGCCATCTCCTCGGGCTCGGCACAACCCTCGGGAACTTCGCCCAGTTTCAAGGCATTCGTTAACATTTCACGGCATTTGAGACGAACTGCATCGGTCATGCCGCCAGCTGGAAATGATGTTTGCGCCGATGTTGGCTTCTTTTCGTCGCGTTTATCCTTGGTCGAACTGCTGCTGGACTTCTCTTTGCCACTCGAATTCGATTTGCTGGTGCTCGATGTTGATTTTGTTGAACTATTGCTGCCCTCCTTATTGCCGGTTGCCTCTTTGGGCGTGGTGTTGGCGTTGGCGGTGGCAGCTGCTGGCGCCGGACTGGCCAGGAAGCGTTTCCAATTTTTAATTAAAGTCTTCGCCAAGGCAATCACCTCGTCATCCTTGCTGCTCTTGCGCAGTTCATTCACCGTCATCCCAATTCGCGTCTTGGTCAAAATTTCCAAATTAATGTTTAGAGTTTGCAACGCCTTGAGCAAGTCGAGCGCCTGGTCCTGGCCCTGCAGAATTAACCAATGACAATACATTCACATCTAGCAAGTCAAACCACAACGAATTGTATTGCCCAAGTATTATTTAAATGCATTTACTCACGGCTCCATCGCTGGCTGTTGAAATTTTGCCAATTTTCTTTTGAATCCGAAACACTTCGTCCTCGACGCTCATATTTGACAGGTTTGAAATCTAGTTAAATTAGAGTGTTTGACAGAACAGAGGTTATGTTAATTGATATTTAATTAGTTTTAGCTATTGTTTTTTAACGTGTTTCCTTATTTTAATTAGTTGTAATTGGTCTATTACATTATTTCCCTCCAATAAAATGTTGTTTACTAATTTTTCTTTTATGTATTCTTTAGAGTTATTCTATTTGGAACTAGTTCCAACACCGCCGCTGCATATGCTTAACACGTAAGAGTGCCATTTTGAGTTGATGTTAATGGCATGTTAATTTGGACAAAACAATGGATGTTTTATATTGACGGTGCAACGGTCACATTGTCATACTCCGTTAAGTGTCAAAAGCTATTTAGCAGCGTTAACGTTTCGAAGTGACGCGCTAAAAATTATTAAATAATTATTCGCGTGTGTTTTAAATAAAGCAGTTGTGTACAAAACAAGTGGTGAGTACTTTGAGTTTGGTAAAAGTGTACAAACAACTCAATAGTATGTTTTCTTAAAGCTGCTATGTGTAAGAGTTATTTTAATTGCTGAAATAACTTGCAAATATAAATGAATGTATTTATGTAAAAAGGTGTATATGTATGCGAGTGTATATCTTTTAACGCATTTCACAATGGAGTACCTGAAAGTTTTTTCATTTCACTTTTTTCAATTCTCAATTCTCGTGTCTTGCATCTCTTTCGCCGTTATATTTTAGAGTTGCCAACAATCGTCGCGCGAGTTATTGTTATTTGACGTTTTTAAAATTTCGCACAACACAACAGCTGTTGACAACACTGAAATCGAAGTCAACGGCAGATTCTAAAATGTCGGCTTTAGGGTTCTCTCTGATCTGCTGTTTCGTATCTCTGTCTAACGCTTTCATTGTAATTTTTCAGTCATCCTGCTTGGACGTTAACGGCGCGTAGTGTGAAAAGTTTGGCTTTAGCAAATACAAATCCATAGAAATTCAAAGGTGAGTTATAACTACAATTATTACAATTAAACAAAACGGAGCTAACAGGCAAGATAGATATATTCACATAACTAATAATAATATATGAACTTTGTATGTTCTTTTTTGTTTAGTTTGCAGGATTAGTACATTTCGGGGCCTTAATTTTCATTTTTCTGTTTGAGTTTTTATCTTTCATAGGAGGTTATTCCATTCGCCCTACAGGATTTCATATTTTCTCTTAGTTTTTTGTGTATGATTTTGCTTTGATTCCTATTAGTTTTAACCAAAGAGAAATTCACAAAGAGTACTGCCTGCCGAAATGCGCTTGTTGAAGTACTGAGCAAAGTTTCGTTCATAAAACACGCGCGCAATGTGAAGTGAACACCGTGCACAAAGAGAGCAGTGAAAAAGTTTATTTACTCTTTGACATTGCTTGATTTATAACGGCACTTGTGCGAATAAATAATCATAACCTTAAAAGCAAAATTAATAATTTTAATGTCGTTGAAATTTGAATTGAAAAAGTTAGCGTTCAGTATTATCTATATTTTTTTAGTATTGTTCTAAAATGTTTGTATCCCATTCTAATCAATACTTAAAGTATGCCAAAATGATCTACTGTTCCATTTCAGAAATGTATATTCATCTGGAAAGATAACGCTGAGAAAATCATCCCATGTGATTTCGAGCCAAACTCTTATCTATGAGTGTTGAGTGGTAATATCCTTTTAAGTTTCCTATTTAAAGTCCAGCTCTTCATATAACCCTTTGAGCCTTTTAAAGTTCAAAAATAAACAATGCCCTCAACCCTGACATTCTTCGTTCTGGTTAAGAACATATATATTTAATGTGGTCTGCGATGCCTCCTTTTACCGATTACACACATTTTCAGCCATTTCGTGAAATTGAATTTGAAATCGCTATTCACAATTCTAAAAATTCAATACAATTTGAAAAGTATTTGTTTTTTTTTCTTTATTTTTATCAAATAATTTTTTTCTTTCTTGGTTTTAAACGAGTTTTTTCAACTTTTTGTTGAATTGGGTTTGTTTTTCATTTGCTCTTTGGGCTCAAAATACAATACAATATTAGTCAAAAAATGTATTTTGTATTTTTTGTTTTCCTTTATTTTTCATTTTCTTTTTGGATTTGTGGTTTTAGTCGTAAAATTGTTGTTGCCATTTCATTCAAGTATTGTTCATTATCAACTTCTTTGAATATATATATATATATATATATATATATATATATATATATATATATATATATATATATATATATATATTTAAGAGATATTTTTATACAATTTCTAATTGTAAAAGCATAAAATTTTACAGGTTTTACAGGATTTTATTTTTTCCGTTTATTTTATTTTTGTTCTTTTCTGTGTTGTAATTTTTTGTTTTTATTTTCTTAATCTTGTTTTTCCTTGTAAGCGATTTTATCTCAACTGATTTTATCATTAGTCGCATGTGTGTATCTGTGTGTGTGTAGCTCTACTTAGTAAGGTTTTTTTTTATATACTTGCTCCAATAATTAATATAAATTTTTTTAATGCTTAAATTTAAATTGTTTGTCAGAGTGTGTGGGTGCTTTGATTAAATTTAGTATATATGATGCACATTAATTTGATTTATAATTAATATAATAAACCATGCATCATAGCGGTATACGTATATATATAAATATATATATTAGTATATATATAGTAGTATTTTAATTTTTTTTTTGTTTTTTAAGAAACACAATTACAAGTTTTTAACACATTTCTTTTTGTTTTTGTTAAGTTTTTCGCTTCTATTTTTCTGGACTACAAATTTTGCGTTTTTTTTTTTCGTTTTTGTTTTTGTTCATTTATTAATTTTTAAAATACAATTTAACATAGTAAAAATTAAAAAAAGAAAATGCATTTTTATATGAGGCCGTATGCATATAAAAATGTTTTTATTTTTAACAAAATTAAATGTATATGTAAGTGTTTTTGTTTTGCATGAAAAATTGCCTCCATAGATGAGAAAGGCTTAGTTCGTGATGTTTTCTTTTCCAAACTTTCTCGATTTTCTCATTTTGTCACTGGAAAGCGAACTGTTTTTGTGATATAAATTTTGAAATTTAAATTGTGCAAAAATAGTAAAGAAAGTAAGAAATTGAAATAAAAACAACAAATTTACAATACGTGTCATAGTAATAGAAACTTTGCTCTTTAGTTTTTGCTCTCTAAATTGCTTTTGCTTAAGATTTACAGTTTGGTTTTTGTTTTTTTTTTCTCATACATTTTAATAGTATATATATATGTATATATATATATATATATATAAGTATATATATATATAAGTATATATATATATATGTATATAAATATATATAAGTATATAATATTTATAATTTCTCTCATTTGCATTTATTGTTTTCCCAAATATTGTGTTTTTGTTTTCTTTATTTAATTTGTTTGTTTTTGTGGCTTTTGGCTTTGGCTGCGCTGCGGCCGCCTAAAATGAAAATTTTTTTAACTCTTGCTTACAGTTCTTATGATTGTGTATGTGTGTGAGTGAATGTGAGTGTGAGTGTGTGATATATATATATTGGTTATCTGTTCCTGCTCTTAATATGCAGACACCAACTCTTAAAAATTGAATGCACGCCCCGGCGCCTGTAGCTAGCGCCTCCCACCTCAGCTCCTCCTCGTCCTTCGGCTCTCCTTTTCAACATTTAATCTTCAAATTCAGCTTAGGCGAGCGTTGGGAACTGGCGCTCATCGTTGACCTTGGGTGCAGCATTCTGTTGCCTGTCGTTGCCAAAACGCTTGCCAGCATGTCCACCACCAATGCCGCCGCCCAAGCCGCGACGCTCAATGGGCGGCCGATTGCCGCCCTCTGAACGAGCAGATGGACCATTGCCACCGCCGCCCGCATTGCCGCCATCGGCATTGCCGGCGCCTTGTGGTCCGTTCTGCTGCGGTCCGCGATTGCCCTCGTTGCGTGGTCCTCCACCGCGTGGACCGTTACGACCGCGCCCATTGAAGTTGCTGGCACCGCCGCCGCGACGACCGTCATTGAAATTGAACTGAATGTCAAGGACGCGCTGCTGGCGGCCGACGCGTTGCGGATACATGGCAGGATCGTATTCAAGTTCCTCTTCACTTTCGTTCTCCTTCTTTTTGTTATTGTTCAGCACAATCATTTTCTTCCATTGCGACGTATCCTCACCTGGAAAAATGATAAAATATGAGAACATTTTGAATGGAGAGCAATGTGTGGGCTATAAGATGGGAACAGATATATTACATAGTTCCTATATATTACATAAAATTTCTAGTAATAGATAATATATAGTTATATATAACGAGTTTTGGAAACCTTGAATGGCTATAACAGACGATGATTAATCGTACTTAACTGATTTGTTCTTTATATGTATATGTACTCTATTTAAATTGCTAAAACTTGTAACTATGATATAAGATGAAGTGAAATTTCTTCAGATATGAACTACATATACTTCAGAATCAAAAACCATCGATTGTTAGAACATGAAAAGTTTATACATTAATCACTCTAGCCTTAAAAAATCTTAGCCTTTATATATATGTATATATATATATATATCCATATCTACATCTATATTCAACCCACCTTCGCCGGCTTTGCGTATGTTGAACTTGGGCTTAATGCGCTGCTGCTGTTGGGCCTTCCATTCGTCTAGGGTCAGCTCTTTGGTCTCTTCCTCTGGCGGTGTTTGTTGTTCATTCGATTGCTCATTACCAGATTCATCGGCCTTGCCTTCGGCATTGTTGTTGTTAGCATTTGTCTCATTGTTGTTGCCGCCTTCGTTGCTCTTGTTCACATCATCGATGGCTTCCTTAACCGAACCCCAATTGTGAGCGCCAGCTCCATCGCGTTTATCAATTGCCTTCACACCTGTTTCGTTATTTATTAAAATATTAATTAATTGTATTTAATAATATAATATATAATTTCTTTTACATCAACAAATTCGACTTGGTAAACGTAAAAATGAATCTTATCAAATTCTAGATTGTAATGGAAAATCTTTGATAAGAAACTTGTGGCCTGAAATAATTTTGACCTCCATATAACGAGTATTAGAATTCGTTTTTTTTTTCGGGAATGTTGCTTTACGAATGAGAAATTCCATATTAAATGCATATAAAATAAAAGTTTCTGTAGTTTTAGAGCAATCCTACAAATATAACATCTTTCAGAGGTAGCAATCCCCCGCCCCACTGCCGTGTGTGTGCACTTCGCCCCCCTTCTAAGAAATGTTCCATGGCGTGGAAAACTTGTGTGGGATAGTCATATACGATGGGGGGCTTTGAGGGGTGTGGGGAGGCCCGTAGAAGAATCAAACTATTTTTAAACATATACATATTCTATACAGCATGTTGTGAGGCTAAAGAAATGTGCGCAACACAGTTTTAAGATATGAAATGTGAATGAGTAAATCAAGAAATGCGTTCGAACATAATTCGTAAAGGTTGTAAATGAACCTTTTGGGGTTAGGAATTAGAATATATATATATATATATATATATATATTTATATATATATGTGTATGTACGTATGTATATATATATATCTACATATATATATAGAAATAGAAATAGAATGTAATTATATATGTGCTTGTATAAATATATAGATGTATATAATGTGTATGCATATGGCTCACCAGTTTTGTCGGAGCCAGATTGACGATCAAATTCACGTTTGCGATTGTTGCCCTCGAAGTTGCGATTCTGGCGTTGTGGACGATCGCCACCAAAGCCGCCGGTGCTGCGATATGGTCGAGGATTGCCATCAGCACCAGTCGAATTGCCAGAGTTGCCACCTGGAGCGCCATTTTCGCGCACGTTGCGGCGATTGTTGCGCTGCTCGCGCGTTACCTCACCTCCGGCGCCACCACCACCTCCTCCACCATTCTGTTGACGAAAATTGACATTGCGCTGCTGCTGATGTTGTTGCTGTTGCTGCCCTTGACCAGTTTCACGTGTTTTGCGCGCAGCGACCGCAGACCCAGCCCCACCTTGCTTGTTGTTTAGTTTGTCATTGTTGTTGCCGTTGCTGCCCTGTGCAGTTTTCTTGCCATCATTTTTGTTGAGTGCACCTGGTTTGTTTTCCTTTTCGGCTTGATTTGGCTTTTTGTTGGCGGCTGCTGTGCCCGCTGGCTTAGCTACTTTGGTCGTTGGCGCCGTTTTTGTGTTGGGCGCTGCTGCCGAGCCGCCAGTTGCTGGCTGCTGCTGCTTCTTCTTGGCCGCGACAAGATTATCTAATGGATCGCTAACATCGTCGTCCATGAACAAAAGTTCATAACGATTTTTACCGGCGCTATCCATGTTGTTGTTGGGCTGCTGCTTGTTGTAATTGCAATATAATCTTCCAATTGATTTTTCCACACACAACTGATTTTTATGCAAAAATCACACACAGAATTTCAGAGTTTTCTGTCAGAAAAAACTCGTGTGTGTTTGGTCGCTGCTGCTGCGCCTATAAATGTAAATGTATGTATATATATTGTGTGTGTGAGTATTTGTTTGTTAATGTGTGCGTGTGTGTGTTTGAGAATAGAAGAAATTCGTTTTTTTAGTCTTGCTTTTTGCTATTTTTTCTTTTCGTCGTCGTGTGGTGTGTGGTTGCCTGGCTGCGCTCTAACCTTAATTTTCTGCGTTTCTGCTTTGGCTGCTACACACAAGCGCGAACATATACACATATATACTCAAGCACACATGTGTTCTACACTACCAGAAGGCAAGGCGAAAAAGCGCAAGCAGCATGCTGTCTGTGTATACATACACAGAACAGAGCAACTCACGTTTTTCACCTAACAGATGCGAGTGCGCTGCCACACTTAACATGCGCTCATTTTTGCGTCGGCGAATGGTAAAAACGCAATAAAATGCTGCTCTGCTTAATGCGCACATTTGTGTGGCGGGAAATTAAAAATTACGTTGCGCCTTTATATATATGCACGAACCGGGTTTATTGAATATTAATTAGTTCTATTTTTCAGCTTAGTTAACGATAAAGTGCGAACATGTCTGACTGGGAAGATGAGGTGAGATAATTGCATGCATGTAATATGTAATAAATCCATAGAAAATCCTTTTTTAAATTTCAATTAGCCTGCTCTGCCTGAGCGCAACAATCATATTCACAAATTACACGATAATGAGAATTGGGATAGTGAAGAGGTAACATCGAATCCAAAGAATGTATCGGAATGGAGCGATGAAGACAAACCGAGTGAGAATCGTCAAGGTGCAGGAGATGGCAATAACTATCGCGGGCGTTGCAATAACGGTGATGTTGGAACAGGAGGCGGATATCGTGGACGTCGAAATGATGGCCAAGGAGCGGGAGGAGGAGGCTATCGTGGACGTCGAAATGATGGCGAAGGAGGAGGAGGAGGCTACCGTGGGCGTCGAGAAGATGCCGTATTAGGTGGAGGCTATCAAAGACGTATGGATAACAACGATGGAGGAGGAGCAGCAGGCTATCGAGGAAACGGATATCGTGGACGTCGTAATGATAACGAGGATGGTGAGTGAATGTAGCTATAGCTTTCTATAACGCTATTTAGTAAGATTCTCATGTATCGTAAATATATGTATGTCCAACTATACGTCTGTGTCGTTTGTTCTTGTATCGCCTCTCAATGGTTTGTAACGCGTAGCGGATTTGATGTTCTCCAACGTGAATCGGCCAAAAAGTTATGATAAGGAAACGATAGCTGCATATTTAAACAATCTTAATCTTAAGGAATCCAATCAGTCGCTCGTTGAGTTACGTGAAAAGCGCAACTATTTGAGTAAAGCTTTCAGTGTACTTGTTGAGCAGGAATGGAAAAATGCCGAGGAAACGGAGCGTAAACAACGCATGGAAGAATTGAAAAGTTTCTGCGCTGCTGCTGTTAATCTCGATGAGATTATCCCAGACATAGATGAATTCCTAACCCAATCTAAAGATGAACTGCAGCAGCTGCATCGTTCGGAACTTAATCTTTGGCAATCAGGTCAACAGCTGCAAGCGCAGCAGCAGTTGCAGCTGGACGACGATGCAATTGTGGTGCCAGGAGAAAGGCGAAAAGTTGTAACTAGAGCTAGATTCTCAACATCTGGCAGAAGAGCCTTGCTAGATCGAAATGTAGAACACAATCAAGAAAACGCCACACAACGCATCAGAGATTTGTTTAAAAATGCGGCACGTAGCTATGAGCTAAATGATGGCATGATAGAGCCGATAGATGAGGAATTAGCCATCGAAACGCCAACTGAACGAATAGAACAACATGGGCCAACGCGTTGGCTATCTGAGAACTTCATGACTTTGCGAGAAATGCGTAAGCTACATTTTTCTGATCCAAGCGAACTGCACGAGCCACTGCCCTGGCCGTCGGTCATAGACGAAAGGATTTGGTTGGCCAACAGACAACCACAGTTAGCGCTGAACATGTGGTTTGTGCATCGTCCAAGCGAATCGAGGCAGGAGCAGGAGCAGCTGGATCTGGAGCCAGCCCTGCCACGTCAAGATGTACAATCTCGAAGTCAGAATACGCCCAGTCACGGTGGCCTATTGCCATTAGTTGGTGTGCAAGATAGTGGACGCAATGCAGCGCCAATGATCAGTAGCAATGCGGCATCGATCTCGAATGATGGGTATATACTTTTATCTGTTTCAAAATGTATCTCCTCCCCTTTCATGTATCTACATATTTAAATCTTACTTTAAGTTTCTAAATGATTGGTTCCCGCTGTGTCACTCGTTTCCTCTTTCACTCATTTTTCGCTCTTTTACTAATTTTTCGCTTTCACTCATTTTTCTCTCTTTCACTCACTCTCTCTCTCATTTGTTTTGTCTTTTTCTCTATATCTAGCTTTGATTTCTATATCTATCCCATTCCATCTGGTTTTCTATCTCTCTCTCTCCCACTGTTTCTTTCCTTCTATATATCTCCCTCCCCTTGTCTCTCTATCTCTATCTCTACCTCTCCACTCCCTGTCACTCTTTATCTATCTCGTTTTCTACTTTATCTCCGACCCTCTGCCTCTCTTTGCACTTACCTTCCGCTTAACTGCTTCGCCGCCGCATTAGCCTAATGATGTGGTTGGTTATTCCTTTCCTTTGTGCTGAAAGTCGTCTGTCCTATCTATATACACGAACGAACTATATATATATCTATCTATTTTGTATACAAACAATTTTGACATTCACTCGAAACATGTGTAACAAAACTTGCAAATGATTGAAAAGTGTGTGTCTCTGTGTGTTGTGTCTGTATATGTTTGCTTATTTATGTTCGTAACTGTAAAGAACTCAACTGATATTTAACAGGCTTTGCTTCGGCTCAAGTGTTTCCTTATACATATATCATTCAGTTTTCCCATTCGCCTTCGCATTGACTTATCTTTGCTCGACATCGTCCTCTATATTGTGTTCAAAAATTAATCTGCATTTTGTAATCAGTTTTGAAATTCATTGAAATACTTATTGTAAAATGGAATTTATAAATTCATCAATTAACCAACTAAGTTTATAGAAGTAGAAGATTGACAATGCTAAAGATCTTAGTTGCCGTTCGAACTAATAGTTCATAGGCTATATTGCCCGGCCACCGATTCGACATTGATACTAGTATGAAAATAAAATATTAAAGGAATTTCTAAATCATTTTTGAACACAATATTTCTTTGGTCAATTGCTGCTTTTATTGTTGAATCTTGAGCTTCTTTTGGTATTCACAATTCAATTGGTATTGGTATTCACAGCCTTTCCGCCGTGCAATTAACAAGTGGCGGCAATCAGGCAGCTAATTTGTCGGCTGAAGATATCTATGCCTTGTGCCCGCCACCGATGCCACCTGTGACACCCATAGATGGGGATAATTGCAGCATATTGCCAGTGAGAGCCATTACTTCTATTACTGCTGCCGCTGCTGCTGCTTCATCTTTTGTGGAGTCTAATGTCTCGGCATCGATTGTATCACGCTCGCGTCATGCATTTGCATCGACGCCTTATCGGACATTGTTGCCGGCCATCGACGAGGAGCCACATCAGCAAATGAGACCCTCGACAATGCCACGAGTCCTTGAGCTGAACGAAGAATCGGCAACAGAGAAAACAGCCGGATCTATTGTAATTGAAACTACAGCTATAACTACAGTTGATGTAGTTGCTTCAATAACGCCTGCTGGGTCAGCTATTCCAACTATGCCGCGGGATTGGACGTCGATATTTAGGCCACGTACTGCTATTCCGAATTATACACATGGAGTTGGATATGAGCAGCTTTTCTCATCACCAATAGCCGTACGCAGGCGCAAACGCAAACGCAGGCATCCAGAAGCAACAGCAGCAGCTGCCCAAAATGAATTGGAGCAAATTGAGACTGTGCAGCCGCCTAGCAACGATGAAGTTATGCTTGACTATTTGTCCAATCTCTTCCAGCAAATATGGTCAGAAGTAGAGGAGCCGGTTGGACAGATAGAGTCACCAGCAATAGCAGCACAAGCTTCAATTGAACCAGCAGTTGCCAATGAGATGCCCGTTGCAGAAGGTAGAGAGTTGCTCCCCAGCCAGACAGACGCAGCAGGAGCTAGCGAGCTGTTGACATTGGCCGTGAGCATGGACAGAACAACAGTTGTAGAGGTTACAGCGGCACCATCTGCATCAATGGATACAGATGTATTGCCTGAAGGATCAACACTTGCATTACCTTTACCTGAACCGTGCGACAGATCGCAAGAAACCCTGCAATTGCCCTATAGCATGGATGAGCTGCCCGAAATTCCGTTGGTGACATCCATACAGATTATCCAACAGCCGGCCAGTGCGAATCTTAATGCAGGCCAATCGGTAACTGATCTAAATGGAACTCCTGTAACAATACTAAGTATATCCGATAAACCGTTAAGAGCGGCGGAAGAAACCCGCTTGGAGCGTGTCGAACGAGAGTTACGCGAAAGTCTTAGCTTCATAGTGGAACACAAACATCTGTTGCGTCTCATGGTCGACCATAATATACACTTGAGTGACAAACAACAGAAGGAGGATCAGCAAAGGAATCATCGATCTTCACTCGCCACCAGCTGTCCATTGACGGGCGGTAGCGATGACAGCGATGCCGTGCGCTACGTCTCCATGCCAGCTATGTACACTTACGATCCAAAGATTATACTGAATATGTCTGAGGTGAAGCGTAGTGTGATGCATAAGCTAATCGGAGCTTTAGTCCGGAACAATCGTGTGGACATGCGTGCCAAGGGCTTCTTCGAATCTCGCATGGAAGCTGCCATTGGATATCGTCTGCTCTTCGAGCTGAAGGCAGCAAATATAATTAGTCTCGATGCTATGGCACGTTATGCAATGCTGTCATAGCGAGATAAGATAAATAATCTTATCTGAAATGAATTTTAACAGAAATAATTTTATATACCTTAACTTAAAGCTTTTTACTTGACAAAGGCGTGAAAACGTAAAATGGAAAATTCATATTTTTTTTAATACAAAATATTTTGTATTATATAATATATATTATCTTTAAGACAATGCCTTGAATAGGCTATATTAGGAGATATGCTGGGAAACGATTTTATGTTCAATTTATTTTAAGAATCTTAAACAAAATATTTAAAAAAGTGTCTAAAAATTAAGTAATGAAGCATTTTCAGATGATTTCTATGATTTTAAAAGTTTTATTTTTAATTTATATTTCAATATATTAATCGATTCCTTATTCATTTTATATTAAAGATTAATTTCAGTTTAAAAATTGTTCATAAATATTTTAATCTATTAGTAAACAGAAATAATTGTTATTTGAGACATTTTATTTTGACTTTTATTCTTATTTTAATGAGCTATAAAAATTATATATTTATTTTTTTATTATTATTAATTATATTAACTATAAATACATAGTTTTATTAATGGATTCAAATTTTCAGTTCACAATTTAGATCTAAGTGAAAATAAATATTTTACTTATTTAAATGATATAAATTAATTAAATAATAAATTAAATTTAAGTACCGAAAATGATGTTAAAAAATACTTATTTGTTTGTGTGTTTATCCATGTTGCACTTATTTCTTTGCATTATTTAGTAAATCAATTTATTTCTCAAATTTAAATTTAGTGTGCGATGATCGTCGTGGCGGAGGCGGTGGCGGTGGCGGCGGCTTCCAAAGGGAGCGCGGTGGTGCCGAGCGTCGTCGACGCGACGATGGCGATATGAATAACAATCACGACGATGTTGGCGAGGATGGGGAGAAGCAGAAGGCCCGAGAGTTCTATATACCACCCGAGCCGACCAACGATGAGACTGAAGTCTTTAGCACCGGCATCTCATCGGGCATTAACTTTGCCAAATATGATAATATACCAGTTAAGGTATATAGAATTTTTTACTGTTACTTTCGGATCACTAAGCTATCCCCAATATTTCCAGGTGACTGGTGAAAATGTGCCGCCGCCTATTAAGAGCTTTGACCAAGCCCGTTTGCGTGGCAGTGTTCTGGACAATGTCATCAAATCGGGCTATGTGGTGCCGACGCCCATTCAAAAGGTTTCGTTACCATTAATAGCCGAAGGACGCGATTTGATGGCTTGTGCTCAAACAGGTTCCGGTAAAACGGCTGCGTTTCTCTTGCCCATCTTGAGTAACATTTTGGATGAGAGCCATGATCTGGAGATTGGCAAGCCGCAGGCGGTGATTGTGTCGCCAACACGTGAACTGGCTATCCAGACCTTCAATGAGGCTAGAAAGTTTTCATTTAAAACCTATCTAAAGATTACCATCGTCTATGGCGGTACTTCATTTAAGTACCAAAATGAAGGTATTACGAAGGGCTGCCATGTACTGATTGCGACGCCAGGTCGCCTTTTAGACTTTGTGGATCGCACCTTTATCACGTTTGATGATACGCGATTTGTGGTGCTCGACGAAGCCGATCGTATGCTGGACATGGGCTTCTCGGATAGCATGCGCAAAATAATGCACCATCAGACAATGCGTCCTGACCATCAGACGCTAATGTTCTCAGCTACCTTTCCGGAGGAGATACAGCGTATGGCTGGTGAATTTTTACGAAATTATATATTTGTGACAATTGGAGTCGTTGGTGGCGCCTGCTCCGATGTGCAGCAGACCATCTATGAGGTTAACAAGTTCAACAAACGTTCCAAGTTGATGGTGAGACCGGAAGATTGCTGCTCAGAGCTTTATCAAATAAAGCTAATATATATGTATATATATTTATATTTTAGGAAATTTTACGCGAAGGCGCTGATGGCACCATTGTCTTTGTGGAGACAAAACGTGCGGCTGACTTTCTGGCTTCGTTTTTCTCGGAAACCGAATTTCCAACCACTTCCATACATGGCGATCGCTTGCAGAGTCAGCGCGAGCAGGCGTTGCGCGACTTCAAGAGTGGCATTATGAAGGTGCTAATTGCTACATCTGTAGCATCACGTGGTCTTGGTTAGTCCCTTTAATTATTTATCTATAGTTGTATACATTAATTCTATTTCTTCATTTTAAAGACATTAAAAATGTAAAGCATGTGATTAACTATGATATGCCCACAAATATTGATGATTATGTGCATCGCATTGGACGCACTGGGCGTGTGGGCAATAGTGGACGTGCCACATCCTTCTTTGATCCCGAACAGGATCGTGCCATTGCGGGCGATTTGATCAAAATCTTGGAGGGCTCTGGACAAGAGGTGCCTGATTTTCTTAAAGAAATTGGCGGTGGCAGCAGTTATTGCGGCTCCAAGTTTGGTGGCATTGATGTGCGCGGCGGTGTAAGTTATGAAATCCATTAACGAGGGCTGTTTGAAAAGTTTGAAACAATCACATTCTAAATTATATAATAGCCAACATTACATTATGTTCGGAAATTCATAATATATATAAAAATAATTGTCTAAAAGTATTGTGCCTAACATAAACTATATTAATTCAAATTGAATATTTTTAATTTTGCTAAATTGCTTTTTTTTTTTCAAAGTACCCTCGTATTTTTTTTACTAGATATTATATTAAACTAATTTTGTTCAATTTAAATTTGCTCTTTACATTCATAGCTGAACGCAGTCAACTTGGAGGAAGAGCAGGATTGGTAATAATTAGTATACTGTTACTATATAATACTTATATTTCGACTTTCGACTACAACAACTCCGGAGTATACATAAACATCAATTATGATATCCTTATAATTCATATAATATATGAATATTTCAAAACAAATTTATTTGATTAATACAAATATTCATTATTTTTGTTAAACATAATTACGTACATTTTGTTTAATTCTTTATTAATCTGAAATTTAATAAAATAATTTTTTCCTTTGACAAAGCATTTTGTTGCTCCTTATCAATGCTCTCTTAGCAATCTATAATTTTGAAGTCAAACAAAAGGCAGCCGATCAAACTAATTGCAAGTGTTAAAATTGGCATTAAATCTGCACTTGGAAAGTGGCGAATGCCAATAGCCCCTTTTACAAGATAATCATGTTTGCTCTTTTAGGATTTTGCATTCGAGATGATTTCGCTTGCTCTTTGCCTGCCATGTGCTGTGCTCTGCTTTGTCATATGCCGGCTTTTTGCATGCTGTCTGCAGCGCTCCCTTAACGGACCCCTGCAGGAGTCGTGAAGCGTGCACAAAAACAAAAAAGGCAATACAAATTTTGCTTTTCTGTGTTTTTGTCTTTGAAAACGCACGCACACACGTATACGCACACAACAAAATCAATAAATGTGAAACTCACCACTCGCTCTCTGTCGTTGTCTGCAGCTGTGTTGAACTTTCGCTTCGCTTAGTATTTGCGTGTCGAATCAGTCTCTGACGGCATTTTCCAGCGTGTGAACGTTATTTCAATCGGGTGCGCAATAAATGTACAATTACAACATTTTGGTGGTATTTAAGAAATTTATAAAATTGAATTGCTTAAACTAATTAAAAACACCGTAGTGCTGCGCTATAAAGTGTGCTACATATAAGTAAAAACCGTTTGGATCAAGTGTTTTGGTTGTTATTGTCGCTGTGGCATTGGCTTAACCTAAATCGCTTCTTAGCGATTATGAAATAACGGCTTCGAGTGCCACTCGACGTTGTTGTTGCGGCTTTGATGAACAACAATAGCAACAGCAACCAAAAGTAGGCAACAAGAATGAAACTGTTCAGTGACGCCAACGCACATTGAACCCTAGCGTAGCGGACTGCGGGGATGGTCTTAATGCAAGATCCCGTTACTTGTAAGGTTACCCCTCGTGGAAAGTAATCCCCCTGTTAGCCGGCGTTGCGAATAAGACTGCCAAAAAAACAGTTTCTTATTTCTTCTCTTTGTTTCTGTTTACAAAGCTCAACTGTGAATATGACATATGCTCTCTTGAGTTCTCTTACAACTCCACTCAAATGAATAACTGCACTTATTGAGATTGAAAAAAGTGTACGGTTCCAAAGACGTGTCATTGCACAGTGGGCAGTTTCAATTAATTTTCTCATTAATGTTATACGTTTAGCTTGCGTGCTTCATTTTTTTTGTTGTCCTCGCCAATTCATAAGCGATATCGGTGAATCGGAAAGTTTTACTGCTTTACTGTAAAAAAATGATTAATGAATGAAAGTTTTTCCAGCAGACTTCCGTTATACTTTCACGTAATAAACACGCTACGACATATTTTTAAAAATAACATTCACAATTTCGAAAAACAATTTATCAAACAAAACTAATAACAAAAGTGAACAAAAAAGAAGAAATTAGACAAACAGCAAACAAAAGGCAATATTATAGAAAGCCAGAAAAGAGAAAAAGGAAAAGACAATATTTGTTTTTAGTTTTATTTTTTATTTTCATTTTTATTTTGGCACACAATGAGCCAAAGTTTTGATAGTTTAATGCACGGTGGCGGCGGTGGTGGGCGGCGAGACTATGCGGAGCGACAGTCCTCGGAGGATGTGCCGGATTCGACGGCAACAACAACAACAACAACGACAGCCGGCGATTTAGCCGCAAGCGCTGCTGGAGCAGGAGCAGCCACTCTGCGAGATGATGAATTCAGCGAGGATAACAATTTCGAATCGAATTTGCGACGTCGCAAAGGCAAAATAATATCCTGTGCCAAGGAGACAATTGAGAATGGTAAGCCTTATACGTATATACCAAATGAATATATATATATATATAAATATATCTTTGAAAGCAAGCGATCTCTTTAAAAATCGTTTTTAGTGCGAAAGATCTCTTGCTATTCAAATCCTATTCAATGTTTGTTTTGCCTTAGCAATTTACTGTTATTATGATGACTATGTAGTTTGCCCATAAGCACACCTTTCTAGCACGCAAGCCCCCAAGTCTCTCAAGAGCTTTAGCAGAGCCGCTAATTTCGTTGTTTGTTAATGGGCCAACCCTTATGCTTGGCACCCTTAAGCTAAAGTCATAAATATCATATGGATTTCTTCAATGTACTCGTGTGATATGGAACACACGCAAAGCCCTCCACATCCTTGACCCATTAAAATTAATTTACCATCTAAAGTTAATGTTGGGAAATTACCTACGAGTTTGCTAGGCATTCACATGTGGGCGTTTGCATCAATTGAATTTAAATTAAAATATGAAAATAATGAATCTTAAAAAAAACTCTACTCTTAGTTCTTAAAAAATGTAGGAATAAAAGAGATGACGCTTGCCTGTGTTTTGCCATTTAAGCGCGCGGCAAAAGAGTATTTATTTCGAGAGGGCAGTGTAAGAGAGCAAGAATATATTTAGATTTGCCGAGCTTTACTGCCATTGGCGGAGGTGATCTACTCATGGTGAGTCTATTGGATATGTGTAAAAGCGAAGGCCCTGCTTTTGCTGAAATTAAATCGTTGTGCAGCTGTTCGTGAAGAAGAGAGAGAAGAGTGTATCTGTAAGCACTTGCCTGTATTTTGGCGCGCTTACTGAGAGCATTTGTTCAAAGACCGTAAAGTATGAGCGGCAGCGTTGATGCCATTGGTGACGTTGCCGTTGATCTCCCTGTTTTGAGTGACCATTGTAGATTTATTGAGAGTGCAGACTTAGCGCTGTACTCTTGGTGCACTTTTAAATTAGTTTGTGCGCGTCTGCTGTGGTGATCGGTCGTGTTAAGTGCGCGCTCATATAGAATCGAAATAAATAGAATATAATTTGAAAGGAAGCTAATAATTTTCAAGATGCTGGTTTAAATAAATATTATCTATATTCGAGTACAAATAAGTACATATTAAATAATAACTAATAAAGTATCGCATATCTTGCTGATAAATATTTTTCTCTCAACAAAATGACACACAATTGGAATGGACTAATCTTCTCTGGCAGGAAGAATCAAAGAGAGAGAAACAAGTAGGCGAATTTAAGAATAAAATGAATAGTTAATAAGAAGTTCATTTCAATTGAAAAGTAGATCAAATTAATCTTGTAATTCGCGCTGCCTATAATAATATATCATTTTTTTTTCAGTTTTATTTTTACGATTAAGCCACACTAATTTTTTAAACTACCCACGTTTAAGCACAAACACAGATGCAGTGTGTTGATTTCTGCTCTGTTTTTAGAAATATCTTGGGTTTACGAAGACCAAAAAGAAGAAAAAAATTCAGACATGACTTTTAAACTTTGTTCGCTTGACGTATAGCCACGCTCTCAGTCCTGCCCACCCAGCCACGTCTTGCCCTGCGAATAGACATACAAGTAGAAGACGCAATTGCATCGCGTGCGTTGGCCTGGCGTGAAAATTTAAAAAGTTTCACTAGCAATTGGGCACTGGCGAAGCAAAATGTAAGCAGCTCTTATCGATTTTCTAGCTGCGATAATGTCTGGCGGCCATTAAGGCAATCGTCAGGCTGCCTACCACACCTCCTATGCTCCCCGGCAGTTTTTATCATGTACTCTATATTTGCCATCACTGTCACACAATCCTACCCAGCCCCCACGTTGATTGTCTGTGCCCCATTGTCCGCGCTTAGTGTTTGTTTTTGTCCTTTTGATGATTGTTTTCGTTGTCAGCCCTATGAGCAGCGGCCCCTGTCTGTCGACGTGCTATCCATCGAGGCGTCACCCGCAGACGTTTTACGGCTCCTCGGCGCTGGCATTAGATTGGCATTGCCTTCTGCTTTATTAACCCCTTGGCCTCAATTCGTTTGTTGTATGTCGACAAATTACTATTTCTCTGTTCTCTCTAAATAATGCTTAAAGTATTCCACTTGATTCACTTGTTATATAATTACCACTAAGTCAGGTCATTTATTTAAGTTAAGTTTATGGCATGAAAAAGTTTAAGCTCAAGATTTTCTCCAAACAATTGAAAAGCCATTAAAGCAGTTTCCCAAGCAGAAATCAAAATTTTTCAAATGCTAATGGATAAATAATGCCCGCATCTCGCCGCCCTTGACATTATGTGAGTGAGGTGCAATAAAGGATATTTTCTTGTATCTAGTGAAAGCAATTGAAACGGGTATATTCGTAGTTAAAACAGGCAGCATTGGGACGACTTAATAAAGTACATATAACAGATTTAGCAGATTTTAAGCTGGTTCTGGTTTATGTGAATGCCTTGATATTGACAAGAATAAAAACAACTTGAAATATTATATATATATTACCTCAGATTCTAATCGATTAGAATTTAATGCAGATCGTACACCTATCCTGGCTTAAAATAATCAAAATAAATTTTTGATTCAAATCTGAATCAAATCTGTTGCTAACATCAATGAATTGGTCTATATAAGGTAACTTTCCCTGGAGTTCAGGGTAGCTCCTAGTCGGGCACTCTCGCTTAGAACTACTCATGTTTTTTTATACATCTATTTCAACTCAAATTGCAATCTTCAGGCAAGTGTCCAACATTTTGTTACGGTTTATGAAAAAAATCAACAAATATATGAAAAATATGAGAAAGCTATATGATATATATATATATATATTGTTGCTTTTACAGCGTTGCACAATGAAATGTCAATATTAAATTTAATGAAAAACTACGTTACCAATGCTAGGCAATGCAGATCAGAATGAAAGTAAATTTATATATACACGTATATAAATTTATAGAATAAATTCTTAAATATAATTTGATATTAAGTAAATCCGATATGAATAAAATGTTTCAGCTGTCAAGTAGAGCCATTCATGGCCAAACTGAATCATTGGCTTCCGTTGAACCTTTCATGGTATTGGGTCTATTGTACGTTATGCTCTTCACATATTTTGCATATGAATCTACACAGTGAACCCATCAAAGCCGATTACATTGGCTCGATAATGAAGCAATGCTAGCGGCTTATTGATGCTTTGTGTGTGGGCTGTGAACCCGAAACTCAACTCGAAATAATATTTGCATATAAATTTTCGTATGCCAGTTGGTTGATGAGGGCGCGGAAAACGTTTTGATATGCAAATTTGAGTTAGATATTGAAATGTAGAATAAACTTCTGCTTTGTTGTATAAACAGCAGCAATGTCCTGCGGATTTTCAATTAATCTGTATTTATTTAAATCCGCTTAAATCAACAATTTGCTAGAATAGAGAAAATTACATCAGGCAGTTCGGTAAAGGTTTAAAGAATTGATGGAGCTTAAACTGATGTAACATTTATTTTTCAATTAATTATAGAAAGCTCGGAACACATCCAGAATATGCACAAGAAAATAACTAAAGCGGTCTTTTAACTATAATATTTATACTAACAAAATATTAAACTGATAAAGAGTCTATTTAACAAAGTATGTAACGGACAGAAGACGTGGCAGACCCCATAAAATATATATATTCATGATCAGCACGACGAGCTGATTCGATATAGCCATATCCGACTGGCAGAAACTTTGAATGTTTTTGCCAGTATACCATTTGCATTTTTCGATAATAATCGATAATAATCGATAATTTGATTTCGTTTTTTTCCAAGAAAAACATATTTCATATGGAGTATAAGTTCAGGGTATCTCATAGTCGGACATGCCCGACTAGAGCGCACTTGTTATTATTGCTCACCAAACTCAAATTCAATTTAAAACATTTGTCAATAAAAGTTGTTGAGCAATGCAATGCTTTCTTTATATTTTCAATATATATTTGTCTGGCAAGATCTACAAAGCATAGCAAATGCTTGTCCTGTGGCTAAAATATCCCTCATCCTTCATCCGTCAGTCTTCCTTCTGTCTTCAACATGTGCAATTGGATACATCGAAAGTTTTCATCTGCATGCTGCCTCCAGGCACTCTGTAAATCTGCGCTCAGTCAGGTGCTCAGTGAACTCCTGTTAGCTGCAATATGTTTCCATACACTGAACGAAATAGAAGAGAAAAAGTTATCTAGAGAGAAGTTCAGATTTAGATTTGGGCCATGCATTGTACTTTAGTTATAAATTTATATATTTTTCTTACAGTGCATTTACATATATGCAAACTACCTTTTATTTAAACATTGACTGACAGCAGCTGCTAAGCCCAAGCCGAAAAATTCGTTTCCAGTTCAAATGTTTCAACTGCACAGATACCAAGTCAATGCCCAACATCATCAGCACCATCATCATCATCATCTCTGACAGCCTGTGACATTGAGAGCAGCTTAATTTCCGTTAAGCTTATGCTAAGCTGCATCTATATATGAGTGTGTGTGCGCGCGTGTGTGTGTGTGTGTGTGTGACACCTTTGATTGGGAGGCTAATGCGATTGGTTTCTGTCAACGATGTTTCATGTTTTAATTTCTTATTGATTAGCATCACGAATGCATTACGCAGCGCAGCAGCAGCTGCCTCTTTTGTTCCTGTTGCATGTGAAGCTTGTAATTCAATTTGAACTGTGAATGTGTTAAGCGAATTCGACTGTGGATCAAACCGTTTTGGACTGTTAAACGTTGAGAAAGGGAAAGCAGTATATCTATATAGAAGGTTCACTTGATTTATATATATATTTCCCATAAGTTCATAGCTCTCTCAATGCTTACTAGAAACTTCTATGTACTTCACATTTTGCAGGGTATTTTCTTTTGTCTGGTCTTAGCCCCAATTTTCATCCATCTGGCTATCTATTCATCTATTCATGTGTTAACCGTGTGCAACAATTTCCTGTTGGCAACTGCTTGTTCACATGTGGCACACGTAAACCAAATCC